AATGATTGATTAGTTAACAGTTATTTTATTTTTGATCGGTTAATCAACTGTCTGTTTTCAGCTCTATACTTATTCAGGCGGCTCATCTTTAGTCTCCTAACTTTTTCCTGAATTGGAATTCTGTTATTCTCTCTTGGCAAGTATCTGCCCTGCTGACGTGCCCTTGAGCAAGGCATCACATCATTCCAGGTGTGGGGCTACTGTTCGGTCGTTGGCATAAGTATATGACAGAATATCTAGGTCGTGAACTTATTCCCTCAACCTGGTTCACTTCAGCAGAGAGCACTGTGGGCTGAGGATTGCTGTCTAAAACAGCCAGCTTTGGATCCAGCTGCTCAATCTAGTCACAGTCCTGACCCTAGCCCAGCCTGCATACTTGTCCAGCAAACAGGGAGAGGCGTTGCTATGAGGTTACCATGGCTGCCCACTCTCAAACGGACATTCCTGCTGTGTGTCAGAGCAGGAGGAGGAAAGCTGCGGTGCTCGTTACATCGTCAGTTCCTTATTCGGTCAAACTGTGGCTTGAACTTGCTGAGCAGCCCACCCAATTTAGAGTATGAAGTGTGTTGGGGAGGGGAAGGCACGGGCCTCCGTGTTACTAAAATTAGGCTGTGAGCAGAGACTGGGAGGACCGTGCCCAGTCTAAACAGGATCCATTGTCCTTGAATGCTGACTACTATAACTGATCTCACATCACCAGTGTAGGAATAGAAAACTTGTCTTAAATAATGATGAGAGAGCTCAAAAGTGTTTAGATTAGTCATTATGTCAGTAAATAATTGAGAAAGTGGGAGAATAAAAGAGGGAAGAGGTGGAGTTGGACAGTTTTATGTGTCTGCTCGTAAAATGTAATGGGGTTGGACTGTTAAAAGTGCGCATACCTTCAAGTGCGTACATGCCCATATTACATTTAAGCTAATTAGATAAAGCCTAGCATCATTTTCATTACTACTGAAACGTGATAAGTTGGTCATTGCATCGGTGGCTTTGTGAGCATAGTCAAAGGGTAAGTGATGAGAGGTATGACCTCACCGTGTGTGTGTCTTTGTGTGTGTTTGGAGTAGAAAGTGTTTTAAAGACCACAGGCCCCCCTCGCTGACTGTGGGCTCATTGTACTGCTAAAGGGCCACGCTGTCCTAGACACTGACTTCCAGATAACATCCGACTTTGAGCATGACTCACACCCTCCACTGGGCAGCTGTGTGTGTTTGGCATTAAATAAACAGGCATCTGTTGACTCACGGCCCGTCCATTGAGCCTAAATAAAGCTTGAGAGTCTGTTAGCCGTTGTCAGCTGTGGCTGCTTATGTGGCCCAGACGTTATTATAGCCGTTTCACATCAGGGGAAATCTGTGTTCCAATCTCTGTGAAAGATGGCGTAACCGTCTGCAAGATGTGAGTCATTTTTGACACAGGAGGCAAAATGGCAGGCTACACACTGGGCACTGTGAATGCTGCTTGTATTTGGAATTGATGGTTTGCTTCTTGGAAAAGGTCTTTGTCAACTAATGGCCTTATAAGGGCCCGGTGGAAATAATTTCTTCCTTTACTGGTGTGTTTTTATTGGGGTGTTTTTTTTTTTTTTTTTTTCCCCCTTGCTAACTGATGACGTGCCTAAAACTCTAAACAAAAAGTGCTTTGTGTTGTTGCTGTATAGAAGGTTCTCCAGAAGCTCTTTTCTGAATGTCACACTATAATAGTGGCACTCTGGAAAGTGTTAGTAGGGTGGAGGAGGACAGCGTTTGGAGGTGGGTCCTGAACCTCTTAAAACATGTTTTGTGCCATAGACCTGATTTAAGAAAAATCTTGTTTTTAATTTCTAGTTTTCATCTATCCACTCCACATTCTCTAAGGTGAAATATTATTCAGCACAATTACTGCTGCAAACAATCACATTTGGGTGCGTACAGTGAGATGTAGGGCAGCCGCTCCTGAACAGCGCAGCAGTTTATATGTCACAGGCAGAGGAAGTGCAGCTCCACCAGCATCATCACTTAAACTAAACAAAGCACCCTCTTCGGCGGGAGTAACAGGACATTTCTGGAATAGTTTCTCCCTCCTCCCCAAATGCCCCCCCCCCCCTGACTCCACAGAGGGGCCCAGGATAAGGGCAGTGGGATAAAGGGGGAAGAAGAAGAAGAGGAGGAGGAGGAGGAGGAGGAAACGAGCAATGTGCCAAACAGCCCACAGCCTCTTGCTATTTTACCTTCCGTCCACTTAAAACATGTGTATATATACCGCTTGTTCTCCTTCATGTACGTTAGCACTACCTGCGATCTCTAATTCCCTCCCTATTTCCTGTAATATCTCCCTCTCTGTAGCAGATTCAGTGTCTGTGGCAGAGAGCTGCAGAGTCTCTGCTGCAGACTCCAGAGGGTAGGAGCAGTGCCACAGCCCCAGGAACAGACTGAGAGAAAGAAAAGTGTGAAATGTCTTTCTCAGCTGCTGTGGCCTTCTTCTTGGCCACTTGAGACGGAGAATTTGCAGATGAGCTCAGCTTAAAAGCAGCTCATCGTGCTGAAGTACAGTAAACATCCTTTTGATTTACAAATGACATGGAGACGTGTGGTGTGCATTTTTGTCTTTACAGAAAGAGAGCTTACTTCAGATGGTTTACCTGTGAATTGGTAATCCCCTCCGCACTGTGTGCTCTGCTTTCGATGTCATATCTGTCTGGTCATTGCCATGGGAACAGTTGCTGTGGTGCATTGCCACCCTTGATCCAGAACTGAATGGTTCTCTGTAGGTGCAGCACTGTGGGGAAAATGGAGCAGTCATCCCACTGATGTCTTTTCTGATCCCCTAAGAATCAGCTAATGCCAGTCTAGTCTAGTAATGGCCGTGAACCACGATACCCCCGACATTTTATGGCCCAAACTATATATTTTTTTAAATGAATCATGTAAGGAAAAAAGGGGACTTTTATTTGCTGAATAAAGGCAGTGATCTAATCCAAGCTTTTCAGATATTGAATTCAGAGGGGGGGAAGAGGGAGAGGACAGCCGCAGTACAATGGGAGCCAGCAGGCAGATCAAACAGAGCCATCCCACTGGGCGTCACACAGAGGACAACAGCAGCCAGCCTGTCCCCACCAGCAAGGAGCTGCTGCACTGACTGAACAAAGTCCACTATTGAACACAGTGCATCTGAAACCTGCATCTCTGATACTAAACAAATTCAAAACTGATTTGAATCTTATTTTTATCCCCAATCCTCTTTGCAAATAGTTCTTTTATACAACAGTATTTGTGTAAAAAATATTTGTGTACATCATGTACAGCTACGCTTTGTATATCTCCTCCTGCAGGAGGTGAGACCTGCAGTGAATGGGGGGAATGAGGAGTGGCTGACACAAGAGACAGACATACATGATGTGATATTCAACCGTTTCAAAAAGGCTCTGCTACAGTAGTAGGCTGAATGAAGAAGTGCATTCCAGAGCACCGATACTTGAATGAATGACCTCCATGCTCGTCCTTGTGAAAAGATGAATACAGTGCATTCTTTTTGGGCCCGCCTTGCCTGGAGAATGGCATACCTGGTATCCACAGAGCTCTGCACCAAGTCTATGATAAAGGTTGTGATGCAGTAAAATGAAGATTTCTTTCTTTTTGACCATGAATGGAAAAAAAGCTAATGAGAACAACATTAGATTTCAGTTACACAGTAATGGTTCGTTATGTTGCCCATCTTGATTTAACTAGACATTAAATAGGTTTTCTTTGAGCAGACATTAGTATGCACTGGGCAGCATAGCAGATCTCATTAAGATACTTTGCAAAGCTCAGTTAATCAAATGAAATGCTTCATTCTGTCATCTGATGTAGAATCCAAACCTTATTTGTCCTCTGCTACATGCTTCTAACGCCATACTTGGCTGTAAGTTGAGCAAAGAGAAGGATAATTTAGAGAGTTGGAGACAGAGGGAAGAGTGTGTGACGAGGGATGGGTGGATGTTGGGAAGACGGGAGATATCCCTGACAGTTTGCAGCACCCTCCCATTAGCCTTTCTGTTCCCATCCTCCATGGAGCAATCAGACTGTTCTATCAGTATGCTTTTAAAAGAAAAGCAAATGTTGTGTTTTTCAACGTTTGAAATCTCAACACTCCTTCCCGTTTTCGGTCTGGTGCTAAACGATGAGCGTTGGTCATTAATTTGGAGGACACGCGCCGCTTCCATTGATCCCATTCCCGCCGTCACTGCTCGGTCTTGTGTTTGTGCAGTCTAGCAAAAGAGGAAACAAGAGGCCGTCCTAGTCTTAATCACTCCAGAAGTTTCCTCTTACTCTTAGACAGTAGTTCTGCAGATTAATGGAGGGGAAGTGTGCTGAAGCATTTAAGACAAGGGGGTCGGCTCTCCACTCTTCCCTCCTACTTAAGTCTTTTTCGAGGGCAGCCTGCAATGTGTATGAAAGAGTCATTGTCTGAAACGGGCCCTCTCTGGGTGAGTGCTGTAAAATGCCCCGGGCCATAAAGGTTGTGCAACAGAGATGTGATTTCTATCAAGATTGCCGGGATCTTTTTTCCTGTTTCGTTCTCAGCCATAAACCAAGTGCTATCAGTGGTCGAAAGCTGTTGCAGATGTTTTTTAAGCTGCTATCTTGTGTTTTCTGCTTTCAGTCACGTAATCTGGGAGGTTTCCACCCTGTGGTTAATGGTCTCTATAAGATAAAAGCGGGTGCTGACACTTGTATACTCAGTCTTCAGGAATGGTACCTGCAACATATTGCTGATAGTTAATCTACTCCCATCCTAACTTGCTATCTGTCTGTTTATTTAAGGCGGGGAGTGATGGAGAGAGCATCGGGAACTGCCCCTTCTCCCAGAGGCTCTTCATGATCCTGTGGCTCAAAGGAGTCGTCTTCAACGTCACCACAGTGGACCTTAAGAGGTGAGTCCTACTCCCGTTCCCCACCTTCCTCCCCCACCTCTTCTCCCTTCTCTTCCTTTTCATTGGCTGTTTTTAAACCAGGATTTAAAAAGAAATCTGCTCTTTTTCTTCCTTTGATAGCCTCCTTCAGCTTTTCTGGGCGTTTCCACAAAGGCCTCAGTGGCTCCGTAACGCTTTGATCCAGCCCCATCCCTAACACGCTCACTGCTTCCCCACTGCTTATTTGGTTTTCCCATGACCCTTTCCCAGGCCGGAGTAAATCGGAGAAAAATAAACATACAGACTCTAGAGAGGCTATTTAAGGTTGTTCACTCCGCTTACTTCCTGCCTAGATTTTGGTGGGCAGCATGTTATTTTTCACCACTGGGATCAGAAAATGGTTATCCTCTGCAATTTTGACTGCGATTTCATTTTTCCTCCCAGCTGCAAGCGAACGAGCTTTCACATGTGGATTCCAATACCAGAAGCTCCTTACCAAACCCACTATATTTTCTGTGTGTGCATGATTCATCTAAATGCTCCCTAAATGATTTTCCACTTGCTAAGGCAGGACAGGCCAGATAATTTTCAGGCATGGTTTGGTCTGGATTATATGGTCTTTCTTCGTCATGTGCGTTTGACTCAGAGATTCAGGATTTGGGATGTTTTGTTCCAAAGCATGGTTCATCCACATGGCAGCTGGCTCTTCACCGGGCGTCTCCTCCTCTGGGACATGGGGACCACTGCTTGATGACAAAACAAAACAGAGATGTACTTGATAAATGCTGAGCCTTTTTTTCTTTTTTTTTTTTCTTTACAGTTAAAAGGAAGAGGGCAGCGTCCATTGGAATAGTCATTTGGTTTTCATGCTTGTCTGCACATTAAAGGCGAGTGCATAGGTTTGGGTATATTTGCATATACAGTATTTTCCCTGTCAGAGGGCCTGGCCTGTAATATAAAACAAAGCTGATATCCTGTAAAAGGCAATGAAGGATGTCCGCCTACTTAGCAGTGTCTGTTTACCCCTCACTCCTCAAACAACCCTTTGTTCAGCCGGAGTCACTGCTTGGTGCTTTATTTTTTTCTTTCTTTCTAGAGGAACGAGTGGTTCAGGCTTTGTTTTCTCCATGCTATATAGTGTCTGTAATCATGAGTAGACATAAAATGACTGTATTGCAAAAGAAGGCGCGTGTTTGCCATATTTATGGCTGTTTTATTGTAGTAGTTAAATGGATGGAACAGTACACGTTGTTACCCCTGTAGGACATTAATATCACCTGTCACGGCCATAAGTCAAAATGTTATATCTTCTGTGGTTATGTCTTCTCTCGGGTCAAGGCTGTCGTGTTAATAATTTTTTCTGTGATGAAAGCCTCTCATTCTCAAGACAGTTTGTTACCCACTCCTCTGTTATATTGTTGGGTGAGGGTGCCACTTCCCCTTTGCATGCCAAAGAGTTGAAGTCATTTCCCATTTTTTGTGCCCTTAGATGGCTTGTACCAAAACTGGAGCCCCCATTGTGAACATCGTCCTACCAAAAACCTGGACCATTTAACAGTCTGCGCAGATAGATGTTGCTAGTTACATTAGATCAAAGAGGATTCACACTGCCTGCTGGCTTACACCAATCTATTAGGTTGTTGAGACACTGTTGTATGTTTTTGCTGTCTTTTTGCTGAAGGGATTTAAGCGTCTGGTTTCTGTGGATTTCACAAGTCAGTTGTGTTCACACTACTCCTTCAACACATGCTCATTTTTGTTTATGCGTGTGTCAGTGTCATCTGCCTGCCAGAGACATCTGGTACAAAATGTGCTGGTTTGAAGGCCGCAAAGAGAAAGGGACACAAACACTCAGAGAGACCAGTAAACACACACACAGTTAGACACAGCACTGAGCTGCAATAGTTGGAGCAGGAGAAGGGCTGGATGGCTCTAACATGTGGTGTCAAAGAGCCACAGCACTCTTAATTACTTGAACTATATAAAGTGAATATATACATTGTATTCATTTGGAAACATCAACCTAATTATGAATCTTGTGTCTCATAACTTTATGTGGAGATGAAAGCTACTTTTACTGGTTAGATCTACAAACGTGTTTATCAAAATTTTTAAATGGTTGTATTGCTTCAGTCCACTAACGTTAGTCGCACTTCTCTTCCAGGAAGCCTGCAGACCTCCAGAACCTGGCCCCGGGCACGCACCCACCCTTCATCACCTTCAACGGCGAGGTCAAAACTGACGTAAACAAGATCGAGGAGTTCCTTGAGGATGTCCTCTGCCCACCCAAGTGAGTACTTTCTCACCCTTGTGGTAATACTTTGACATACTTTAGCTCTGAACACACAGTACCGCTGTGTCAAGAGTTAGCTTTCAGATGCTCTAATTAAATTGCGACACATGCTTAAACAATAAGGCTTGCATACATATTTTTTATTGTCAACAAATTCCAAACAATGTGCCAGTCCTTTTCTTTTTCTTTTATCAATCTTAAGGCCATTTGTTTCTACTGAAACATAAATCTTCATCACAAATTGAGTCACAAAAAACTGTTTTTTAGCAAACATTACTCAAACAACTTTTTTTTGCGATGAAATAGGGCTGCACAATATGGTAAAAACATCATATTGTGATTTATTTTTGACAGATACTGCGATTAATTATGTGGCAGGATCATTTTGGCGCATCACAAATTGAATTTTCACAAAAATAATTGTTAATTATAATAATCATGATGATATGATACCTCTGCAGCACTACACTACTTCACTTCATTATAATACTGTTTTGTCACACATTTCCCTTTTTTATCAAAACATTACAGCTCTTTTCGATTTACATATTGCACATGAACATGGTAATTTGTGGACAACAGTGAAGGTCTATAGCAAAGAGAATTGTGCTATAGCAGGGTTTTGTTATACAGACAATACTACGTGCATACAGTATATGTGTTTACTCGTATGTGTGCTTCTGTGCAGGTACATCAAGCTTGGTGCAAGACACCCAGAGTCAAACACAGCTGGTATGGACATCTTTGCCAAGTTTTCAGCATACATAAAGAACTCAAAACCAGATGCAAATGAGGGTAAGTTACTTGTATCTGTGTTTGACACACGTACGCACACACGCACACATACACAGACACAGACACAGACACATATACACAAACACACACACACACACACACTAGGGTGGGTAAGCTGGTTAAGAGGAGACATCCAGAAACCTTCCATTTGTGTAGGGAGAGTTCTCTGGTTGCTAGGCGACATTGGTAGCCCTGCCCTGATTGGTGGGTTACAGCCTCGCTCACAAACACAGAGCTTTTGTTCTGCTGCCTCCTCCTGTCCTCACGCTCCCCGTCTCACCTGGTGGAGCTCTCTGGAAAACCACAGAGCAGCTATCCAGAGAATGGACTAGTGCTTCACTATCTCATCCATCCTGTTTTTGATTAATGCACCCAGGACTCTGCTGTAAGAGAGAGGTCATATCACAAACTTTCAAACTTTAACAGACAGGATTATTGGAATAATAAGAAAAATATGTAGCCTATTGTCTAAATAGATTGTGTTGCATCTGGGGTGAAAGAATTTCTGGAATTGTTTCCCTTTAAAGATCACCAAAATATAATCATTTAGTTATTCAAAAAATATTTGCTGTCATGTTTTAGTTGGCTGTTCTCCACCCTGGGAAAATATTGAACCATGGTGAGCTGGACGTGAAAGCCAAGGCTGTGTCAATAGAGTTTGAGGCTGAATCTCATGGTTCAATGATAAGTGCTCTCCAAAGCAACAGGTCAAATCTACTGTGGAACTACTGAATCGAGCCTGCAGCAACATTCACGTCATATTTTACAACAATAGGAATGGTTAATGAATAATCTATAGATGGGTGATGACAAAGGATGTGCAATCTATTGAGCTTCAGATTGTACAGGTGTTCATGATGTCTGTTTCCTGCATTTATAAGTACATGAGGGTTTGTCTCCTGATGAAATGCTGCCCCCTTGTGGTTGTCAGCATATCGGTGTAGCAGCTGAAGAAAGAGCTCTCAAGAAAAAACATGTCAATTTTATACTGTTAAAAGTAGATAATTTGCTCATACTGATTATATATTTAAAATTAACAGTTTAATACTTATCTAATATATTTTGTGTCTTTCTGCAGCTCTGGAGCGCGGGCTTCTGAAGACACTCCAGAAGCTGGATGAGTATCTTCGCTCACCACTGCCCGATGAGATTGACCACAACAGCATCGAGGACATCAAGGTCTCCAACCGCAACTTCCTTGACGGTGATGAAATGACCCTGGCTGACTGTAACCTGCTGCCCAAGCTGCATATAGTCAAGGTGAGCAAGGGAGGGCTTATGTTTCTCAAAGCTAAAATAAACCACTTTTCCTATGAGCCACTTATTTTATTCACAGGTGTTGATACAACTCTGCAGGGCTTCAACTAATAATGATTTCCGTTGTCATTTACTCTTGAAAATATAAGTATAATAATGCACAAATACACAGTCCAGAGTCCAAGTTGCCCGAAACCCCAAAGATATTTAGTTTATCATCATAGACGACAAAAAAAACTGCAAATCTTCACATTTCCAAAGCTGGAACTAGTGAATCTTTGGCTTTAACTCAACTATCAAAATGGTTTGCTGATTATGATATAAAATGAAATAAAGAGACTGGTGGAGGGTGACAGTGTTTTTGGTGACAGTCTAGCTTTGTACTGATTACATATTAGTCTTCTCAATCCTACTTCTTTAGCCTTCATCACAGTTAAGTCCTTCACAGTAGCCACTAATCATAGTATCAAGAAAAATAACACTATACCAGTTTTTATGCAATTAAATGGTTATTTACTAAGAAATTACTAAAACAGTTAAATTAGTTGAAGTGCCACGTTTTTGTTTTTTTTGTATTCCTAAGAAGTGTAATTTTGTGTGCAATGCTATTCTTTTTCATTATTTATCTTTTATAAGCTAC